TCTCATGTTTGGAGGTTTTGATAAGGAAGAGGTCTGCTGTCTTAAGAGGATGACATATTTGCAGAGTTTGCTCCTTCGCTGTAGAAAATTTTAAGTTGGTTTTTAATTCAAGGGTTTTAACTAATAATTTGAGATCAAGTACTAATAACTTTTTAATTACACCTCAAATTGTTGTGAGACTTTATGTTTGTGAATTTGCATGAAATTCATATATACTGAAGCATCATATTATTTTTTTGCAATACATCCTGAATCTTTTATCAATATAGCTCAGCGATAGGAAAAGGCCCACTGTTGGGGATCTTGGGGCTAATTGGTGTTTTATCTTGTCTCTTCTAAAATATTTTTGCCATGAAACAAGTTATTCAACATTTCTTGCTATTCTCGGTGCATGAACTGCTTTCTTAATTTTGTGTCTTACCCGTCGCTTGATATCGTAGTAGATGCTACACTACATTATGAGCCACACGCACACCAACCAGCTCAGAATTCAGTGGATGAATTCTTCGACAAGAAAGTATTTAGTTTTAATTCTATTCATACATATTCCATGTCCAACTCTGAGTAAAGAAATGCTGAAAGTTTTGTCAATGTGCAGGTTTAGAAAGAATGCTAGGGTGGTGGCCTCGGGTGTAGCTAGGAACCTGAACAAAGTGGGCAACTACATAAAGGAAAACATTGATGACATTTTGTATCCTTATCGCAAGCCACCCAAGTAAAACCTTCTATTGACTAACAACGCAGGTGCGATTGTTTGAACTTTGTTTCTTTCTATTCCATGTTCAATAAGCTCAATTCTACCTAGATGCTGCATATGAGTTTGGCCATTGCTGGTAGTAACCACAAGGCCAATGTAAGCAGCGCTGGAGCACTTAGCACTTGAGTTCAAAGTTTTGTCATATGTTGCATATATTTTACTTTTCTAGTGATAACATGTAAAGTTTATCCATTGAAACTTCTTTATAATATGGACTTTATTAATGAGTATTATAAATTGGTGATAAGTTTAGAAATTTTAGGTCTGACACAAGAATAAATGTATTATGTACATTATCAGGGTTAAAACATTATTATGGATCTTGTCATAGGGATATATTCTGACATATTCTGAAATAATTTCTTATCAACACCAATAACAATAAAATCGTTAGTCGCAACAAAAATAATTCTTTATGATTATGTAAATTTAGATATATACTCTTGTTATATTTCTACTTATCAATGATAATTTTTTTTTATTAAAAATATTTTTGTATAAAATAACATCATTCAATATTTTTTTTATCGAAGATATTGATTTAATAGTGGTATACTAGATTCACCTCAGAATCTTATTATATTTTTGAAGCTGCCCTCTTATTAGAAAAGTTAGAAAAGAAAAAAATATTTTCATTTGCCAATGTTTAATAAAAGATAAAATAGGTATATTTAAGATAATATAAATATGTGTGAATAATTAGGAGAGAATCAGTGCCTATTATTGGGAAAGTTAGAAAAGAGAAAAAAAAATTTATTCACCAATATTCAATAAAAGATAAAATTAGAAATATTTAAGATGATATAAGTATGGGCGACAATTGATGATAGTGAGGAGAAGTAGAGGATTGCTCAAGAAGTTTTAATTAAAAATAATAAATAAATAAATAAATTTAATGATAATAAAAGATGGAGATTGCTATTGTTTTTTTTTTTTGCTATTGGTAATCACTTACTTTATATAATTATTTTTAAAACATAAAATATAATTTTACTAAATAGAACCCCTCAATTACCACTCATACTCTTATCTTTGGAGATTACTATTTGTAACTTTTTTTTTTGTTATTTACAACCTCACATTAAGAATTTTGAATATTTAAAAATTATCTCTTAGATGTGTTCGTGGCCGATCTCCGAAAAAGTTCTAATTGTTTCAAACTTTGAATGAGATATTTACGGAATCCCCATGAATAGGATCAACCCTTATTCCATGATATTTCCATAAGATTCCTCTTTCTTATTCTTAAGC